TGCTGCTGCTGCTGCTGTTTTATTGTGCGCCAGGGCTTTCAGTGCGTCGATAGGGGCAGCAGCGACGGAAAAACGCGCACCTGCTTTAGAGGCATTACGGTAGCGCAGCAAAAACTGTCCCCCCGCAACACACACACACTCTCCACCACTCGTGTACACACACACACTCACACAGTCCCAGTGATTCAACCCTGATTTCCAGCGAACGAGCGAGCAACAGACGGGATGCCAAAAAGTGAAGACCGGTGGAGAGGTTATACGCGCTGAATCAGCCTCTTGAAGAGATAGCAGGAGGGGGAGAAGCAGAAGCAACTAAACAAAAAAAGACAACAACAACAACAAAAAAAAAAAACGAGAAGCGGCGTTGTTTCTCCGCGGCAACTTGCGCACAGTGCCAGAGTTTTAGCGGCAGTATTGTTCTGACTTCACTCCAGAGGGGCCACTCCGAGGAGAGAGGACGCACACAAAAGGGAAAAAGGAAAAGGACTAACGAGCACGCTTTGTCGTTTAAAGTAATGGTGCTGCGGTCTTAGATCCTAGATTTCTCTGTCTCTCTCTCTCTCCTCTCTTGTTTCTTTTTTTTTTTTTTTTTTTTTTTTTTTTTTTTTTTTTTTCGTCCCGTCGGTTTGTGTCCCCCCTTTTGTCGCCGTGAGAGAGAGTGGACGCGCCGGGGGTTTGAGGAGCAAGAAGCGGGCTGTCCACATGGTCCAACCACTGGCGTGAAAGTTGACTTCTTCAGAAACCAAGAGAACAGGTTGATGCATTATCTACACTTTCCTTTCCCCCCCTTCTTCTTCTTCTTTCTTTCTTTTTTTTTTTGTATTATCTTCCTCACGCTTTCCTTCCATTGAAACTCTCTCCTACACACGCTCGCCTCCTCGACACGCTAAAAACTTTTCATCGCACGTTGTTTGTGAAACTCCACCAAGTCAGCCTTAATAATATAATCGGCTATTAGAGGAGGTTTGATCCAGCGGCCGCTCTCGGGAGTTTTTGTTTTTTCCTCATCCACACTTTCCGTCCGTGTTTCATTCTAACTTTTGACTCCTAAAAGTTTTGACACTTGAACAAAAAACATCCTCTTTAAAGCAGTTGATTGTATGTTCTTTTTTTTTTTTTTTTTTTTAATTCTTCCCTGGAAAGAAAATCGAAGTTTGTCTCTGTGTCCTCTTGCGCACATGTTCAGAAAATCCTCTTCCAGTCGTGTATCATTTGAACGATGTATTTGATCCCTAATAATTGATCAAAGCATAGATCGGTGGGATCGGGAGGGCCAGCGTTTGGATAAAGTGTCCGAACTTTTTTTTGCTTTTGAAGCAACAAAAAGTTTTTTTTTTCCCCCTCTCTCTCACAGGTTTGGACTAACTAAGATGTCGGGGGTTGGATTTGAAAGGAGGAAAGATACAAAGAAAGCAACTTTGGCTGTTAATAACTCTTTGATAATAGACGCCGACATGGGTTATGTGGTGATAATTTTACGCAAACGTCTCCAAGCTGAGAATGAGCGCTTTGTCATCGCTTTCTACCTGTTTAAGTGGAGCTGAGCCGCTCAGCTCTGTCCTCTGCTCAAATGTACTTTCTGACAATTAGACAATAAGGTTTAAAATTATATTTAAAAAAAAAAAGCTCGTTGTAGCCTTCATTGGAGAGAATAGAGCTCTTGTCTTAAGAAGAAGAGGGGGAAAAAGCAGCTTTCTTGTTGACATGGTCAATAGGTCTGCGGACAATACTTTCTTTTCAAACCATTTTGACTTTTGAAACTGGAACCGCTTTGTGAGCTCCACTGAGGTTTCATGCGCCTGTTGGAGTTTCAATAAATTCTACCGGATTAAGGAGATAATAATAAATTATCGGTGGATGTTTTAAAGAGCTGCAGGAAAGTTGCTCTTGCTTTGTAAAACTTCTACTTTTAACCAGATTTATTTTTAAAAGATGCGAGGGTTTGTAGAAAGTGATCAGAAGTGTATTTAAACCTTGATTAGTTCTTCTTTTAAAAATGCGTGAATGAGACTGATCGGATAAACGGACGTTTTTGCTTTTTAAGGATAAAATACATCTCCAACACATTTCGAGCTGACTTATAAATTTAGAAATTGAGGAGGATGAAGTCTGTAGCAGAGCCTCGCATTGACCTGTGTTTTTCCCTTTTTGCAGTCGTAAACCGCCTGAAAGTAGGCCTGCACCACAAAGGGAAAGATCTATTTTTTTTTCCATAGAGGAAAAAAAAAGAAGAACTTATTACCGAGATATGATAAATATATTTAAGTATATGATAATAAGATGAACAGTTTAAATAGAGGCTTCTCTTTTTTGGATTCTGCACAACACGCAGGATGCAACTTTTGGAGAAATTGAAGTTTCTCCTGTTGTGTTCTTTTTTTTCTTCTCCCTTAAAATATCATCATCATCATCAGATATCAGGCTGCACATCCCCGCAGGTCAGATGGACTGATTGAAAGCTGCAGAGCCACCAAAAAAAAAAAAAAATAGAGAGAGAGGGAGAAATGAAATGACAATTAATTGCTGTTAGTTGTCTGTCATTGAGAGAAAAGCATACAGGCCGTGTGGGTGCACACCCTGACATGGGCATTATTGCCCCGTGATTGATGGGCGCCGGGGCATTTGGCATAATTAATTTTATTTACTGTGTCCCCTCTCTCTCTCTCTCTCTCTCGCTCTCTCTGTCTCTCTCTCTCTCTCTCTCTCTGTCTCTCTCTCTCTCTCTGCTGTTGTGTCTCCCCCCTCCTGTCCTCTGTGGTGGCATTTCCGCGACGTGATGACACACTTTTAATTGCACTTTAATAGAAGATCCAGCGGGAATGAAAAAGCTCTTAATCACGTTTTATGACCTTGTCACAGTTGTGGTGTCAGACAGGAGAGCAGGTATTTTGTATTGGCTCAGAGGTTGCTGGTGTTGAAAAAATAATAATAATATAAATTCAAACTTTATTTCACCTACAAACACAACAAGTTGTTGCCTTTAAAAAAAAATAAATGAAGAAGACAGTAAAGTTTTTAATGCAGAGGGGCCTTCACGCAGTCTCACATTGCAGTTAATTTAAATAAGCAGAATTGGAATTGATTTTTAGTTGACTTGTTAATTTCAAGACAGGAGAGGCTGAGTGTGTTTTATATGCTCATCAGTTTACTTCCAGAATTGTAAGTAATGTTGAAATAATTAACACAGTTTGTGCAGGCAGTGAATCTGTTTTATATAGTGAATTATTATGCTAGAAAATGTTTAAAATCTTTCCCTTAAATATGTGAAATATAAACGAGTTATTTCTAAAGTTGCTTTTCTTTTTTGAAAATTCAGATTTTCACTGCTGCCTGTTTTATCATCTGCTTCATTTCTCTTTGGTACAGTGAAGCCTCAGCAGCTGGTTTGGCTCAGTGTAAGAATGATTTCTTTTTTTTTTTTTGTTAAACTGCAGGTCTGATTTAAAGTTACAATACAAATTCAGTTGTTTGGAAATTTACATTTCAAATTTACTAACTGATAAGCCTTCGCAAAGCTCAATAAAATAACTTACAATGGAGCTCAGGTAGAACTGCAAAACACTGCTGAAGAATAAGAGGAGAAAATAAAAGTCCTTTTTTAAAAAATTTCTATTCAAACACACCAGCATTTACCAGCAGTATAAAAATAATTAAAATCAAGTGTAAAGTTATCATTTCTGTGTAGTGCTTTGCTCGTTGATAGGCTATCACATCACTGACAGGCTTTTCATGAAAATATAATAAGAGACAATGAAACAAAAGAGTATTTGAGAGGCAGAAGTAGTTATTTGGGGGGAAAAAAAAGAGTGTACGTGTGCAGGAAGCCAGAGGTGTCAGAGACAGATTGACTCTCTCTGCTCTCTGTCGGCTATTGTGTGCCCGTGTCTGTGCGTTCGCCTCAGCTTTGCCACCTTTTTTCATCCGACTTGCTTCAACACTTTTCCCGTCTTTGCTTTTCTTTTTCTTTTCTTTTTTTTTCTCCCCCTCTTCTTCTCTCCTCTCAGCAGCTGTGTCTTTTCCATGTCCTGTTTTGTTTCATTGTTTGCAAGAGTCGCTCATGTACTGCTGATTTTTATCAGTTTCAGACTCTGCTCTCCACCAGACAATTGTTTCTGTTATGCTTACTGACACATTACTTAAATGATGATTTTCAGCCTGGTCCAGTGTGAGTGTATGTGTGTGTGAGAGTGTGTGTCGGGGTGTGACTGGAGCCATGCATGAGACCGTCTAGAGACAGGCAATAATGGCTATGAATCTCATGCGCTTTAAAACCCCTTCAGCACGATTAAAAGCCACCAACATGATTGTGTTAGTCCATAAACTCACTCAGAGAGTCCTTACCTCCAGCATGAGCGCGTGCGGATGTATGTGTGGAAGAGTGTATATATCTGAGTGCGGGAGTGTGTGTATATGAGAGTGCTTTTTTCTCAATTCACCTGTCCTGCTTGAGTGAAAATGGACAGTATTTGAAGTTTTAAATGTCCTGTGCGTCGGTAGCATTGATGGCTTGCCTGTCCGTCTCTACATCTCTCGCGCTCTCTTCATTAAAACCCTCCTGCTATCCCAAACCCACAAGTCTGAGTGGGCTTTTGGCTCCAAAGTGATGTTGAAGAGCACCCGTATACGACACTGCTATACATGTAGGGTTTGACCCATGATAGATACTCACAGATTTACTTGTATTGCAGCACTTAGTGCATTACCTGCTTAAAAGCTGAAATGGTTAAATTTTCAATATCCTTTAGATGGGGTGTGAGAAAAGCAAAAAAAAAAAAAGAGAAAAGAAAAATTGTGCAGGGAGAGAAAGCATGTTTTTAAATGGAATTATTCTAAGTGTTGGTCCTGAAGCTGACATTATCGCAGAGCTGCACACATTTCAGCTGAACATGTGTTGGGCTTTAAATGAGAACGGACGAGAAGAGAGGAAAATGTACAGATCATGGCAGCTGTGTAATTATGTGTTAAAATTAAGCAAATTTTAAATTATTGTATCGTAGATTTTTATAAAATAGATTGGTTCCTTTTCAGTTTTTCCAGTGATGTGGAAAAATATAAAATGTAATCACCGAACACCATTAGAAAAGCAGTTACGGCTTGTTACCGTTTTTTTTTTAAATTGTTAATGAAATATAATCGACAAATTAATGGGTTAAAAGAAGGTGTTATCGTATGTGGACGGCCAGCAAGTGGGGGAATGTTCTGTTTGTGTATTGAAGTGATTGACTGCACAGTGAAACTGCCGCCACATTGCTTTAGACTGAGGCCTGATTATACATGTGGTTCTAATTGAACCTGTTATTTAGGAGAAGCTGAGAGCCGAATACTTGTGTGAAAGTGTGTGTCTGTCTGTCTGCGTGTGCGTATAATAAATCCTGCACATTTTTCAAAGCTGAGATGTGTTGTTGTGATGGGTCAGGAGACGGTGTGTCGCACGGTGAAGTTGCAGGACAGCGGGGGGAGAACAGCGAGAAGATGCTTTTAGTGGGTCTTTTAGGAAGTTGAGCACCTGTGAGACGGGGGAGATATCGTCTTTTTGTTTTCGCCTTTTGTGGCTTTCGAAAGAGCTGTCACCGCTTACGTGATGACAGCAGCCCCAGTTTAATACTCCCAAAATTTACGCGCTCTTCCCCGCTCTGATTGATAAGGTAATCATTTCGTCTGACACAGTGGTTTAGCCTGTGGTCATTAACATGTCTGTGCATTTTAGATGAGCCATTTCCCCCAAGTTTTTCTATCTGTGTGCCGGGTGGCCGG